TTTAATATTTATATCACATAAAATATTTTAATTAAAAGATTGATGAAATTAAAATTAATTTTTTTATGTGAATTATTGATAAAAATATGTGATAAATATATTATTATGGTGCTCGTTTGGAATATATAAATAAATATATATATATATATATATATATATAAAATCAGCATTTCATTTTCAATGACTGCACATTTTTGAATAAGTTGTCATTTCGTCTTGAATTTGACAACACATTCCTCTCCTCCATATCTTCCTAGTTACCATTGGACAATCCACGAAGAAACTGATATGATATGATAGTGCTAAGTAGAAAAATTCACCCACGGGGCCACAACAACCAAATAGAAAAGAACGTTCATAATTAACACAGTACTTCCCAACTCTAAAAAGCAAACACATAATTAAACCTCTGCATCAAAGTACTTCCATTTTTTAGTCATTGGCCATCCTGCACAGACTTCTAATCTATAAAATACTTCAATTATTACATTATAACTGTTCATGACCCCCAATTTGGACAGTTTTGGTTTCTTTAGTCAAGATGGAGCTCTAAGGTCTAAGCCTTCCCATGAGAGCAGCAACCATGTGGCTAGTTCCCCCTCTCTCCAATCTCCCTAAGCTGCCATATGTCATCCATGTTGTTCCACAAAGTATATGCCATGTCATCACAGCCCCAATTAGCATCTGGCATCTGGCATTCCAAGAGTGAGCTGTCATATGACATGGATCCCACACTGATCAAACCCTCCATGTCATTGTAACTGTCATTCAGCAGTACTTGATTGTTGTAGACAGTATTAGTATTGACATACGCGTTTGGACTTGTCATGTATTGTGGAACATATGTGTCTGAGATGTTGATAAGATCGGTTGGATGATTGATTACACTCTGGTTGCTAGTGACTGAGCTTAAATTCTCAACGGCTTGATTTGGATTTTCAAGTGGGGAGGATACAGGGGAGACTGAAGGGACTGTGAAGTTTGAAAATTTAGGGGTAATCGAGTTTTGGGGACCAGCGGCAGCAGCAGCGGCAGCAGCAGAAGTCTGCTCCACTTTCTGAAGCAATCTTGGTATCCAGAAACATCTAACAGCATCCAGGAACTTCTTGCTGTTGGACTCAATATTAAGTTGGCGAGCCTGTTTTTGCACCCTTGTCCTCCAGTAATTCTTTATTTCATTGTCTGTTCTTCCCGGAAGATGATGTGCAATCTTAGACCACCTGATGTCAAGAAATCCCAAATAATGTCAGATCCATGATGAATTCTAACACTCTGATGTTGTTATTACATGGACAGAGAACTTTTTGCTTTTCTTACCTGTTACCCCACTTGGAATGGAGTTCCAGAATCAAGAGTTGCTCTTGTGGAGTAAGGTTTCCTCGTTTAATGTCGGGTTTTAAGTAATTCAGCCATCTCAACCTGCAACTCTTACCAGTTCTCTTGAGTCCTGAAAATTCAATCAAGATAGATTATTGTTCAAAATGGGAATATGTTAAAAACTAATGAGTTCTGAAATAATTCAGCATCTTAAGTACCTGCGCATTTTGCTAGAATATTCCAACGACCTTCACCATGCCTCGCAATGTAATGAGTTAGGAGAGTGTCCTCCTCAAGAGTCCACGGCCCTTTCCTTAACTCACCATCTTCTCCAGGGCACATGATCTTGTTATTAGCAACTTTGGCCATAGATGCTGCTCTCACTGTGTGTGTGCAAGACAGAGAAAGAGAAAGGAATATAAATGGGCTCTAATTATGAAATGTTGAAATGAGAAAGTGAAGGACAGGGTTCAGGCCCCTGGGTTTTATATACAACTTGAGTGAAATTGTGAGGGTATCTGTACCACAGGTCCACAGCGGCCTAATCCTTAGGGAATACTAAGGTGGCAAAGCTATAGAAGTCCCACAAAAGGTCCATATCAAAAGGTGATAAAACAAATTAACGAGTCTGCGAAAGACCCGAAATTGGAACATTCAAAGTATTTCTTCAATCATCAATCAACAAGGAGCCCAAATAACTGGACTATGATCATATAAATAAGTAGGAAGTGGGTCCTGTTCTTTTATTTCTCACCAACTAACTGTACAAGTCTCCATGTGCAATCTTAGAAGTTCAGTTAGATCTGAGGTTGAATGTTCATAATATACGTGGAAAATGGAGAAATTGAAATCTGGGAGTTTCTTATGGGGGAAGGATTCCTTCTCCATCCATTTGTTTCTTGTGCGTTGTTCTAGATTTATCTTTATAAGAAACGTCCTTGACTGAACAAAATATCTCATATGATATTGTTTAGTAGGGAACATGTTGAAAAATTTAAGAATAGTGCAAAGATGATGCATGTTTTAAGATGAAACAGTACATTTTCTAATGCAAAGTTCTTGTTTTCTCTGTGTGCAGTGATTTACAACCCTCTAATTAAATATATTGTATAATATATTTATTAAAAAAATTATTTTTTTAATTTAAAATAAAAATAAAATCATATATGCAGTATGTGAAAAATAATTGAATTAATTATATTTATATTATATTTTAAATAATTAAATCAAATGAATATTAAATAATATATTAAATGAAGAGTATATCAATCATTATTTTCTTTTCACACCTTATTAAACTTAGCCATTTAATTTGTCAGTGCAGCTAAATTTGACTGTATTCCACTGTTTATTTTTCACACTAGGGTCATCCTAAAGACACTGAAAATGAGAGGATACTGGTGATTTCATGACCCTGAGACTCAGAGATGGTGGCCGCCGTGGTGGGGTTATGAGGTTCAAGGACCTTTAAGGATGTGATTAGATTGAATAGAAGTGCAGAAAATGATGGCAGATGGGACAAGGAGAGAGTTTGAGAATCAAAAATAGATAAGGAAAGAAGAGTTCTATGTCCTTGAGAATTCATGCATAAAAGATAGGGTTTCAATAAATTTGAGTAGAGAGTTCCCCATAAGTGGTGCAGATGCCTTTGCCATCTAACTATTTTTGTTTGTAAAGCAAATAATGCTCATGTGACATGGTATAGATAAAGAATGAGCACAATTCTCTTTGCTCAAAAGGGATTACATTCTCACAATTGTGGCTCGGATGGCACGAATAATGATACCAAAAATGAGATTCAATTATGCTTGCGCACGCATGTTTGCATGGTGGGGGACTGCAATGACTGAAGAGGCCCCATGAACTTTGATTAATTAGAAATTAAGAAGAAAAAAAAAGGAAAAAGAAAAAGAAAAATGGAAATGATCTTGCTCTGCAATACATGTGAATTGCAAATTACTCAGATGCCCCACCCCCAGTCTTTATTTTTCTTCAGAGTCCAGAATTCTTCATTGATTCAGCTGACAACTTTGGTCCATTCAGATTTCAGAAGGCTGAATGTTCTCCACTGAGGCTGTTTCTTAATGGGCCTGGGACGGACAAGCCCGGATTATATTGCCAAAAAACTCAGAAATTTGACTGCATATTTTGGTAGAATTACCATAAGTAGAAGGATAATATTAAATACGAAAATGAAATAATTACAATTTCATGTGACATTCTAATGATGCAATCATGATATATCATTATAAGATTAATTCTTTTTATTCAATGATCTATTTATAATATTATATATATATTTATTTAATAACACATCATAAATATATATTTATAATTTTGTGTAATATTATAATTATATCATTATTATATTAATTTCTTATTCTTTGAAAACTTTAATTAATTAACAAAACAATTTGGCTCTTGAGACATTCCATAAGAAGGTTTCATTTTCAATGGAACAGAAGCTCTACCCATAATGTGTTGTCCCTTTCTTTGATTTATGACCCAGTCCTTTTTCTTGATGATTGACGTTCCCATAATGTTTTGCTTTTTATTTTCTACCACAATTGTAAATGGACAAACTAGACTTCAATTCGTATCATTATGAATTATCTACAGCAGGAAACCTGTAGTCTTATGACTCGGATAGATTAAATGATTTCACCGTTACTAATAGATTTTTGCTTTATTAAGGATAAAGTTTCGGTGAGACTTGAATGAAGCATACGCCTAACCTTGTAACAGTTACTCACAAGAAAAGCCATTTCCGCATGTTTAATGTTAAGTTTTGGTGTTGAAGGTGACGAACTCATCTTGAATTATCATTCAAATTTCTGTCAATTTTGTGGCTGCATGTGCCCTAGCTTTCCACGTCCTCTCACAACCATTTGAAGTAAATCAAAACTCAGTTTTGAAGTTAGGTATGTGAAATAGTGGGTAGAAAAATCATAGCCCCATTCCACTACAGATTTGCATGATAAATTGTCCACTTAATATGCTATTCTTAGGATATATAGTAGTTTGTGGCTTTCGTTGTATTGTAGAAGAACATGTTAGAAAAGGATGTAGTCCTTAGGTGGAGTTCGTCAACTGGCCTATATGTGAGAGCTTTGAATGTGGAAAACTAGGAGTTCTAATAATGGAACCAATTTCTATGTCTGGAAGGATTTGATGTCGGCAATGTTAAGCATCTACTTTAACTTTAGGAAATGCCAGCTGGTCCTAACTTGATTAAGATTTTACTGTTAAAATAGTCTCAGTAAACGCCACAGCTGGTCGAGTCCGAAGTAGTCGGAGCGAAGTCTCGGATACCGGACGGGTAACCAAAAAAAAAAAAAATAGTCTCAGTAATATTGTAATGTCATATTGTAATGTCATCAAGATCAGAATAACTATATGGTTAAATACTTTTTTTTAGTCCTTTTACTATTGAAAAAAGTTTTTTTGGTCTTTATATTGAAAAAATCCTTTTTTTAGTCACTATACTTTAAAATCTGACCCCTATTTTATTCCTTTGTTAAATTTTTATTGATGTGTCAGGTTAATTAATAGAATCATTTAATTATTTGGAAAATGATTTTGGGACAACTTTTTTGTATTGCCTTTTGGTACAATTTAACGTAGCATTTAAATGATTGACTCTTTTAATTCATCTCTTTTAATTCATATGGGATTTGTGATGTTGAATGCATCAACTCATTTAATGACGTATGAAAGTGGTATGAAAAGGTTATATAAAACGGTTGTCCTTATAACATCATCCTAATTATTTTTTATATAATTAATATTATAAATGACGTGTAAATTAAGTGGATAAAATTATAAATACATATAAGCATTTCATATGAATATTTCGTGTCACATGTACAAATTAAAAATTTATTTTTTTAATTCATAAATTAAATGAATTTAAACGAATTTAACCATAATTTCTTCATCTTCTTCTTTCTCCTCATCCTCATCCTCCACATTCTCTTCACCATCCTCTTCATCATCCCTCTGGGAACCCAATTTTTGGGTTCCGACCCTTTTTTTTCATTTTTTTTATTTGGAATGTATCTATCTTCCACAAAATTTCATGTTCGGTTTTGAATTAAAGATATTAAGTTTTGGGTTTGTGTTTGATATTTGGATTTGAAACTAGTGGTGATAGGTTCATGTTATTGCGATTATGTTGTTATGAATTTCATAACTTGGTTTATCCATGACCTAGGTTAACAGAGAAAGAAAGGGTTGAAAATCTAAGAATTCTATCTTGGTCGATCTCATATGTAAAGGATTGATTATGAATGAAAAATAAGAATTTTGAAAGAAGGAAGATGATATCTGGAAAGGGAATTGAAAAAAAAGAAAAGGAGAATTTTAGAATATTTGATTAGGGTTTTTTTTTTTTTTTTTTGCACAAAAAGAGCAACATAGAAGGATGTTATTAAGTCCACATAAGCATTTTTATACGGTGAAATGTCCATGTCAGCTATTGTTGTTAAGATAACGTGCCACGCGAGCAAAATTTAACAAAGGAACTAAAAATGAGCAGGATTTTAAACTGTAGGGACTAACAAAGGAATTTTTTTTGTACAAGAATAAAAAAGGGACTTCTTTTGATAGTAAAGGGATTAAAAAAGGTGTTTAACCTAATTATATTAAATTTCAATAAATAGAATATAAGAAGGTTTATATCTTGAGTACTCAAGAAAGTAATTTCTGCGTGAACTCTCTAATTTTGATATATATTACCCACTTCTAAATTGATCGGAGGTTACAAAAGGTAAAGAATTAAAATAGCCAAGCAGAAGGGAGAATCATGTGTCAATAGCAAAACATTTTGATTTCCAATAATCTTTGGTGCGAAGGCATGGTGCACCTCCAATTTTGGCCACAATTTATCAATGGCATAGGTTGATGGCCCCTCACATTGGATTGTAGATAAATCCATCTAACTAAAGTTATGGACCGACCATAACTTGCCTTCTGGGCTCCTTTACATTCCCTTTCAGGTATATCAAGTGAAAATTGTGACAAGTCGTAAATAAACCATGATTGGAAATGGAAAACTGTTACCAGAATCAGTAGCTCTCAATATTTTGTCTACTCCAAATATCATGCCTTCATATATCCCCTAATGGCTGAGTTCTCTGAAGCACTACAAAGCCACAAGCTTTTTCTTTCAGAAACAAACTCAAACTTGAAGCTGATAGGGAACCAAAGTGCTATGGAGAGTCTTGACTCAACTGATGCTGGATTCATGGCTGTCTCAAATAGGGTCATCTTTGATAATCAGCAAGCTCATCAGATACCTATGAACTTCCCTGGTAATGTTCATAATAATCATAACCTTTCAAGTTCTCTTAAATACAATTCAAGTTTATTATTCTTTGGCACTGACAGGTGAATTTCAGCAAGAAAACAAGAACGAGGACACGATGCCTATATTCGAAGGCCTAGTCATGGATTTGTCCCCATCTCCATTTTCTGGAACAGGGTTGAGCCCAGATTTTCAGGTTAATGCAATACCAACTGTTCTATTTCTTTAGGACAAGATTGCTTCCAGCACAAGTTCAATGCTTGATTGCACGGTAAGAAAAATTGAGTGAATTGGTTCTGTTTTGATGCTGGCATCTTATATAGGGCCAAGGTGGAAGAAAGAGAAAGAGAAACAATGATCAACAGAAGCCAAAAGAAGTTGTTCATGTGAGAGCAAAGAGAGGTCAAGCCACTGATAGCCACAGTTTGGCTGAAAGGGTATATATATTCAGTTATTTTACCCCTTTTCTCCCCTTTATGCAATTAATTTTGATTTTGATCAACATCTATTTTTATTCCAGGTAAGACGAGAAAGGATAAAGGAGAAGCTAAGGTGTCTGCAGGACCTGGTTCCAGGATGTTATAAAGTATACAATGACCTTCTCATTTCTCTGAATCATGATCTCATTTTTTTGTTCTTTAATATTGCCTCTAAATATTCTTGTTGAATACATGAAGACAATGGGAATGGCAATGATGCTGGATGTGATAATCAATTATGTTCAGTCGTTGCAGAACCAAATTGAAGTACGTGAGTCCAAAGTCAAGAGATTAAGTATAATTACCACCTAAAAAATGCAGGGGAGTAAATATAACATTGATTTTCTGTTTCATTTTCCTTAGTTTCTCTCCATGAAGCTCTCAGCTGCTAGTCTCTACCATGAACTCAGCATGTCAGAGATGGATGCTACACAAACGATGCAGGTCTTGAGTTGTTTTTACTATACATAATTGAAGAAAAATCAGCTAATTAAGTTGAATAGTGTAGAATGTTGGGTTATGATGCAGGGACAAGAACTGGGCAGAGAAGGGTATGCAGGAGCAGCAGGAACTTCCTACTTCACACCAAATGGTTTCTTTGACTGCGATCATTAGTTGTCATAATTTTGCTCTACAATTTGATGCTTAAATTGGCCACACATAATACATAATATACAAGAATGTATTTTTAGGCTAAACTGCATGTAGTTTGAGTTGTGAAAATATATAAATATTTTTATTGAATAAAATTTATTAAGGGTATTTTTATACTTCGATCCATAACTCAAATTGCACTTTTTTTATGCTATTTGGCTTAAAAGATATCGTTCTCTATAATATATACATAAACAACAAAGGAAATTCCAAAGTCATGTTATTTTCAATATATAGTTGTATTTGTTTTTTTATAATGATTAATGATATGATAAGGTGTTGATCCGTTAATTAAACTTTTTTTCTCATTTTTTTATAATTTTAAAGGTGAGTAAATACATATTATTATTTAATTTTGTTTAGAGGAAAAGATTTGTCTCTTAAACACATGCCTTAAAGTAACTTGCAGTTGGATGAAATAATTATTTCATATTTAATTATGAAAAATAAAAAGTAAATTTCTAATAAAACAAATTTTATTTTCAAATATTTTTCAAAAGAGAAATGCTAGCCAAGCTCCAATTGTTTTTTGCCCTCTTATTCAACATTTATTTCTCTATCATTAGGAGTCTTCTATACGGATAAGACGAGCTTAAACATATTTATTGAGACAACATATTTTTAGAATGAAACCCTAATTTGTGAAGACATGATTGATTAACATTTTTGTTCTTTAATTTCTGCATTATTGTAATTTCACCAAAAAATTCCCACCAAACCAAATTTGATAAAAACAAAATCGAATAATTCTTTATTTAAAATTAAAAAAAAAAAAGACTATATAGTAAATGAGATTGATAGGAGGAATAATAATTAAAAAAATTTAAAATACATTTAATAAATTAACATATAAAAAAATATATTAAAGATATTTGAATAACAAAAAAAATTATTCATTTTTATTTTAATTGTATATTAATAATACAGTCCTAATATTAAAATTATTAATTTATCTTTAATAAAAAAAGTATAAAAAAATTTATTAAAAGTACTACAATAGTTTTAATAGTTAAATTGCACTTTTAATGTACATTTCAATTTAAGAAAACATTTTTTTATAATAAAAACATATTTTATAAGATGAATTATATATCAAAAATAAAATTTATCTTATAAATTTATATTATTTTATTAAAAATATTATATAAAATAAATTATATTTTATCAATGATTTAAATAATTCAGTAATAATTTTCATTTGGTACTGAAAATAAGGGATTCTTTAATTTGTCCATTATTTAGGATGTTTTTAGTTGAAGAGGGAAATTTTCGTCCTAAATTTTTCCCAGTTTATTAACTTTTTTTTTAATGTTATTTAGTACGTAATTTTCACAATTTTTTTAACAAAAAGTTTAAGTCACATCGTGTGTGTGTGTGTGTATATATATATATATGAGTGTGATGGAATAAAAAATAAAAGATATTTTTTTATTTTGTAATGAAGAAGAAAATAAAATAAAATAAATTATATTTTAATTTACATCTAAACTAAAATACATAAATATATACGCAATGGGGCCAAAGACCAACAGCCAATGACAGTCCTCATTGAGCATGAACTACTAAGGTTTTTCACGGCTGTCACCTACGGTCCCAAGAGCAAGAGATATCGCAGGCATTGACCCTTCCCCTGCGTTTGGTTTTCCCGGCCTCACAAGCCAAGGCGACTCAGCGCAATCTCTGCCGTCCGCCTTCATGCTTCCTAGTTTCTCGGCCTCTTGTGCCGCCTTGTAACCCTTCACTTTCTCCCGTGAGGAGATGCAGTGCACAGCCGACTCTTGACCTCAAAGCTGAAACCTCAAAGCTGGAAAAGGGTATTTTACACTCTTACCTCTAACATTGTAACTCTTTTTCTCTTTCTGTGTTTAAAATCTCGTCCCCCTTTTTGTTGATTTCAATCTGGCATTAAATCAGCTAACTTTCCTGTGCTTAGAACTCCCGATTCCGATCAAATACAACAGAATGAAATTACAGTAAAATCTTATATGCTCTAGGCCTCTAACTAAATAATGTTGGAAATGAAGTACTGGACTTGTTAACTGTTATAACATTTGTGTGTAATGTTAACTGGCATAATTGGACATCTTCTATTTTCTGATATGCAGGATGAGTGGATTCTATGAGGTTAAGCTCAAAGTTAGAGATTGCGAGCTGGATCAGTATGTCGTTATGTAATTACTTAATCATATTTCAATCTGAATTGGAGTGCTCCAAGATTAGTACCTGGTCTGAATGTCAATTTTACTATGAATGTGTGATCATTTTTGTATACTCTATTCCAATTGATGTCCTTGATCTTTAGATGACCACTAGTAAGTTGAGAGGCTTGAAGTTTCATCCTTTTTAGTATAAATTAAACCAAAGATGTCAGATTCTATCCAAGAAATGGAAACAAGTCACTATAAAGTAGTAGATGTAACTGTTGTCTTATTGAAGACAAAGACTTCAAATGAGCTAGTACTTTTTATATTGCAGGTTCCTTTTTATGTCCTAAATTATGTGGTGTCGACCCAGTACTTGTGTTGGATGACCCAAACAGGTCGTGATGAACTAATGGAATGTATAGGGTTCAACTCCAATGAAGTTGCACTAAGTGGTGATGCAGTAGCAGTTTCAGAACTGTCTCTGAAATTCTTTCAACCCTTAAGAGTATAAGTCTGATCTTTATATTTCCAAGTACCAACTGCAGAAATTTCTGGGCTATTTACGTGTTGCTTTATTCGTTTTTTCAACAAGGTCTGAAATATCATGCCATCACTCAATCTTCTTTATCACTTCTTGATTTCTTCAATCCTAAAGTCTCTAGGGTAGTATGTGGGGACCTCTTTGTCTTCAGTAATTGAAGTCTAACTTCGGTGACTTTTAAAAAGACAGAGAGTCTTTTATCTTCATATCATGCACAGGATTGAATAGTTCAAACCTTAGATTCAGCAGGGCATTTTAACAATACAGTTAAAAGCACTTCCAGAACTTATTTTCTAAAGATATGTAGTAATTTATTTTCTAGATGTTTAGAAGGGCTTTATGTGAGAGGTTAGAAAGATATTCATGTTAATATAATTTTGAAGATTGAGTTTGGAAGAGATTGCTGTATGCAAACACTTATATAAGTTACACTAATGGATTGAACTAGTGAAGATAGATAAGAGTGGTTCTAATGTATCTGTTGCAATTTCTGATGGCATGATTGGCTTGTATCCCCGTTGGTAAAGCCCTTGGGCAATCTTAGTTATCTGTTTCACATAGTGCTTCTATGAATGCAGAGTGGAGACAAAGTTGTGAAAGTGAGGATTTCTGGTTCCTCTGGAGCTCAAGTGTACTTGGATCACCTCATTTTTAAGCTACCATATGAAGAGGTTTGTTATGGTCATCCCTGCAGTTCTCCTGTATTTTTGCTGCACATTCTAATGATTTATCTTATGCAGCTGATTTTGGAAGCAAAGGCACATGTGTTTGGCTTGATAAAAATCATCATCCTGTCCATTTACCATCTGAGTTCAGATAAAAACTTGTGCAATTTTTTTCGCCATGAGGAGTCTTACTCAGCATAATGATGCAAGAGAGATTCTCTTGCTAGAGACATTGGAAAAGGTAATTTCTTCTTACCACTCTTGTCCAGCACCCTTTCCCTCTTGAAAAAATAAGTTAAAATCCTCCTAATTGTTACATTTTCCCTTGCTGAAAATGAGAAGAGCAAAAAGGATACCTATCAGCGTCAAATAGAAAAAGTAACTTTTTGACCCCAGATCCTACCACTTTACTTGCTTGATATTATCTGCTACAAATTTGGAGAATAATGCTTCAATGGTTTGTGTCGAAGACAATAGCTAATTCTTTTAACTTTTAATCCCTATATTTCTTCCCGCAAACTGTCAGTTCACATTACATTGCATGATACCAGTGGATTTGCCTGTAGATTTAGCAGAGCAGTGAACCTTAGTAGTCTACAATACCCCAGATGTGAATGCTGATCTGAAAATTCCAATTAATTTGATATTTATGTTGGAGAAAAGAACTTAAATAAGTAGGTCTCACTCATCTCCCCCTAAAATCACTCTTTAGAATACTTAAAAGGAGACTCGTAAGATAAGAAAGAACAGCCTTCACAATCTCTCTGTTATGGCTATTATTGTTTTATTCATTGGATTGGACAACTCGAGCTCGGATATGGCTATTTTACTTCTTTGTTTTCTCATGGACTTGTGAATCTCACATCCTCCATCATCTTCAATTGGAATCATTATAAATCATAAATAAATAGAAAACTTAAATCAAAAACAGTTCTGTCAAATTTTCCATTATTAGCCAGCATCATATATATGCTGTTTGGTATTAAAATTTAAAATTAGCTATTAGTGATTTTGTTTAATTCGACTTTTGATAGTTATTATTATTAACAATCAAATTTTCAACCGTCAAATTAAATAAAACTGCTTATAACTAGTTCTAAACTACTATAGTAAATGGTACGATAAATAAATATTGTTCTTATTTTTGTTCTTATTTACTACCCACAAAAGATGGTATATTGAATTATTAATATTCTCAATTGCATAACAAAGAAAAGTTGGTATCCTTATTTGATGCTTTTTCCTGAAATAGAGGAAATGATAAGAAAATCCCAGAAAAATCAAAAGTCACGATGCACGACTATTCCAATATCTATGCGTTTGATCAGTAGGTTTGACTGAGGCTCTATCTCCTACTTCACAAACTACGTTGAAATCAAAGCTTTCCATTCAGTTTAACCCTTTCCCTTAATTGTTTTGGTCTAGGCCTATGCACTACGGCCGTGCATGCACCACCTCATCACTCATCGGTTGCCTTTACACGCCAAATGACTGGTCCTTGTTACAGAAATAAATTTTATATCTTCAGATAGCAGAATCAGAACAGAACAGGAAGAGACAGACATGGAAGACAGGAAAGGGAAGAAGAAGATTATGGTGGCCGTCGACGAGAGCCATTGCAGCTATAACGCCCTTCAGTGGACACTTGACCACCTCGCCGACACCATCTCTGATTCCAAGCTCATCATCTTTAACGCTTCCAACCCTATTGCTTACGGTTACATTTCTGCCGCCACTTACAACACATCTCGTACGTTTCCTTCACTCTTTGTTTCAGATACGTTAAGAAATTTTGAAAATGCCCTTACCCTGCTGAAAATTTCATACATTAAAGATTATAATTTTGGACAGATTTTAGTTTTTTTTTTTTTTTAATACATATTTATCTATTGTAATTCAAAATTTTCTTGAATGATAAACTGCAGCTCCTGATTTAATTGCCATAATGAAAGAAAATCAAGACAAGCTCACCTCAGCCTTACTAGAAAAGGCTAAGGAAGTCTGTGCCAAGCGTGGGGTATGAATGCCATTAATTCAATTTTTTTTCTTTTCATAATTGTTGGCTTAATTTCTTGTTTTGAATCTACTTTGATGACATGAGTTAAAGTTTTTGAATTTTCCTTCGTACAGATTGTTGCAGAGACAATTGCAGAAGTTGGGGACCCAAAGGAGAAAATTTGTGAGGCAGCGGAAAAGCTGAGCGTTCAATTGCTTATATTGGGTAGCCATGGTCGAGGAGTGATAAAAAGGTCAGTTCAGTCTAAATTGTAAAATATCCTTGATTTCTCTTTCAGTCATGATAAGTTTTTGTTGCTCCTGGATATCGATTCATCTTGGTTACTGATCCTAGTTTTCACGGATTAGGGCTTTTCTTGGAAGTGTAAGCAATTACTGTGTTCATAATGCCAAGTGCCCTGTTCTTGTGGTGAAGAAACCAGCTTGATGGTAAGCTGCCTGCTGCCGTATCCTGTATATGTGAAGTTTGAAGCCCTTCTGGTTCCAAGTATAAGGCAGTGAGGTAGAGATTGGTTCCTTACAAACTTAGTCTTTCATCAATGAATTTGTTAATGGTGTGTGTAATCTGGTTAACATTTTGCTGTTGTAATTTGTAAATAACTGGAATTTGGTGATTCTAAATAAAAGAATTGCAATCAAATTTATTTGGCTTTCATTCTCCTCTGAAATGACTGATATCTGAAGTATGTATTTCGATTTTGGATCATGTCTGGAACAGCATGGAAGCTAGTCCATCTTGAACAGGGTATGGGAAACTACATAGGTAAATCGATATTAAGTAGTTGTTTGGTTTAGGAGGAAAGGAACAAAAGAAACCTTCCAAGTGTTTCCTAGTGTTTCTTTTTGCAGTAAGGTTGTTCTTAAGGATGGTGTTCCTATTTTCAATATATACAGCTACGCTGCTTCATTCTAAGGGGGAGAGTTTAGTTTTGAGCAGTTCTGTGATGAGAGCTGTCAGTCCCATCTTTTTCCTGTTTCACCTCAAACGCTTTCAGAGGCTAGATAAATTCATTAAAAAAAAAAAAAGCTTTTAATTATCACAAGTTTCAGTGTTACCTTCACATAACATCCTGCATACCATTTTGAAACAAAATATATAGAAGGGCTGCATCAGTGAAGCGAATAACACATATAACTTCTTCTTCTTCTTTTTTTGAGGCCATTATCTTTTTCATCCTAGCTCAGTTTTTGGATCCAAAAATACATAGAAAGGCTTTTTTTAAATGCTGGCCAGACTAATGCATTTGGGTTCTTTTCTCTTTGATACCGGATCAGTAGCTTCATTGACTTTATAAAAACCATGTATAATTGAATTTCATAACTGGAAGCCTGTACTCATCCTTAGGTTTTTCCTTTGGGAGGAAGAAATTAAGGCTTAACAAAACAACAAATACAAGTCCATACGCCACCACAATCACTAATCGAAAGTAAAAGAAAGAAAAATACAACATCACAATCTGCTGGACTTGCATTTTTTTATTCAACTCTTCTATTAAAAAATCTCTTATCACATGTTATTATTCTTTGTTTTCCTTTTGGCATTATTCCTCCATTCCGTAAGAATTTGACCTGAACTAGAAACTTGATGGATTTTTGGATGAAGAAGATTAAAGAACAAGAACTCAAATTAAGAAAAGGATTTTGATGAAAACACAGGTCTGGATTTTCGTTTTCCCGGCCTTTATCTCATTCATTTCATCTTCATCTTCATCTGACTTTTTTTTTTCCTATATACAAGTGTAGCTTAAATAAAAAGAGGGATTATATTGCTTAGTATCCCCTCAATCGTGTAGAGAATTACATTTAATGCATATTTGCTGAAAAATTGACATATCTGTACCATTTTCTTCCAAATGCATTTTGTAGCCCAAGTATCAAATCTCCCCCAACCAACAATTAAATACACCTACTATATTAATTAAGGAGAGTTACAATGCAAACAGCACTTCTAACAAAAATCTTAAGAATTTTTCCTGCTGCTTTAAGCATTCTGTGTTTTTTTTTTTTTTTTAAATTAAAAAAATAGAGTTGCCGTGAAAGCGTGGGATTTTTTATTTATCTTCTGTCATGCACCGAAAGTAAGAGCAAATTCCACCTTTAGAAAAGATATATAAAAAAAAAAAGGTCACTTCTGGACAGAAATATATCAAAATAAGGGGACAGAATTCTGTTTAAGCAGTTGCTGGAAAGGTACCCAATACCTAACCATAATCAAGGATGGTCCTACATTATCCAAGAATTCCTCTCCTTTGCTTCATGCCTGCTATCTTATTAGTGATTGGTTCTGATTTTGACTTAGATAGAAGGGTCGGTAGGTTTACCATAGCTTAGCATCCTTGATTCTATTAGGAAGATATCCTTCTCAAGAAGCTGTCAAGAATGGTTTGCTCTTACAAAAATGAATTGCCCTTTGAATTTGCTCAACTTTCTGGGCCAGAGATTCTATCCAAATAGATTATAGGCCACGCCCATTTAAAACGCGCAATTATTGTTAATGAAGGACTTCTCGTGAAGGTTAAGGAAAGCTCTCAGTTTCTAAACACTTGTGAATTGCCCTGAGCTTTCTTAGACTTTCTGGGCCTGAATCTGCTATTTAGTGAAGTTTCTATCTTCTGCTTGAGTCTGATCAAGCATTCATTTCCATAGAAGAATGAGCGAAGAAAAGGGAAAGGAAGGGCTTAAGAAGAAGGTGATGGTGGCCATAGATGAAAGTGAGGACAGTTACCATGCTCTCATGTGGGTGCTCAACAATCTCAAAGAATCATTCAAAAGTTCGCAGCTTGTTATCTTTGCCACGCAGGCAACTCCAAAATGTAACAGCTTAAGTGGAGCACATATTGGTTATGCTCGCATGTACTGTACAGCTTTAGCCAGTTAAGTTTTCCAGTTTTCTTCTTTCTTCCTCTGTTATGTCAAATATAACTTAAACTTCAGCTTGAAGCATATAGTTTGCATGGTAGTTTTCTCAGCCATTGTGATATAATTCTGTAATGTTCATTGAGATTGAAACTATTGAGGATGCTGTATATCAGTATAATATTGAAGTAATGAGTTTGGAATTATACATTTTGCATTAGTGATTTGACTCAACTCAATACTTCTTTCATGACTTAATCAATGAAAATTAAAGCTGCAGAAAATATTCACAAACCTGAATCTTCTTTGACAGCCCCTTATTTGAGTGGCATAGCAATGGAAACAAATAGGAAGGTTTCGCTTGGTTTGTTGGAGAAAGCCCAGGGCATCTGTGCAAGCCAAGGGGTATGGCCATAGACCATCGTACTCACAGTTTCCTGAATAATAAGTTTCTTCCTTTTGTGTTAATCAATTTGCTTTTAATTTTGCCAAAAGCAATGACATGTATTCATAAGTTCTGCTATGATCTCATTATTTAAGCTTTGTAGGTATCTGTAGAGACAGCGACAGAGGCTGGGGATCCTAAGGAGGCCATCTGCAAAGCAGTTCAAAAGTACAAAATCAATCTGCTTGTAATAGGTGACCGTGACAATGGAATTCTCAAAAGGTCAGTTCCCCTACTTAAACTCATGATCTGATTCACTAGGTGAAAATTTTGTTCAATGATTCTATAAAAAAAATCTTCTTTAAATTATAACACCAAATCATCAGGTATATGTGTTGACAAAATAAGAGATTTTGTGTTTCACCTTTTGGGTAACACTGAAATATATATATATATATATTTTTATACAGGTTCTTCCATGGGAGTTTAAGCCGCTATTGCTTAGACAATGCCAAGTGCCCTGTTCTTGTTGTGAAAAACTAGAAAGGGAAAATCAGCATGATTAGTTGTATGTTGTATAATATGGCTGACATGTTAAGTTGATTGAAGCTGCTATGTTTGTAAATCAAACGGTCATGTTAATTTGTTGTTGGAGTT